CCCCTTGGCTGTCGAAATGGCGACTGTCGGTGAACGTGGGGAAGACACAGGCGATAGCCTTCACCTCAACCCGGAAATTACCACCACCACTCAAACTACAGGACGAACCCATCCAGTGGAGGAGCACAGTGGCCTATCTAGGCGTTACGTTAGACCGCTGTCTTACTATGGCGTCACACGTCCGTAGCACGGTCGCGCGAGTAAGGGCAACCCGCGCCCTACTACGTCCAGTGTTCTCATCCCGCCTCCCTCTGCGAACAAAGCTGAGTGTGTACAAAATATATGTACGCACTCAGCTCACTTACGCCGCCCCATCTTGGTTCGCCCTCACGAGCGAGTCGAGCCGCCGCCTGTTGCGCGCACAACAGTCGCTGGCACTGCGTGACGTAACGCAGGCTCCTCGCTACGTGAGAAATGATGTCATCCAGAGGGACCTCAAGATCGAGAGCCTGGACGCCCACATCCGCCGTCTCACCGTCGCGATGTTCGAGCGTGCCGACGCGTCCTCCTGGGAACACATCCGGGACTTGGCGCCTTGGCACGCTCGACCACCCGACAAAAAGAAGTTCCCGCGCGACCTCCTTACGGACGACCCCGACAAAGACGGTGGTCCCCTCTCGGGTACAGTCACCGTCCCACAATCAACCCATTAAGGGCCCCGCCGCGCCGCATAGGAAGCCCCCATGGGCGGGTGTGTACAAACTTTATGTACGCACCCAGCTCACTTACGCCAGTCCCTCTTGGTACGCCCTCACCAGCGAGACGGGCCGCCGACAGCTGCGCGCGCAACAATCCCTTGCGCTGCGCGCCGTCGTGCGGGCACCCCGCCATATGAGGAATGACGTCATCGAGAGGGATCTCAAGATGGAGAGCCTGGACGCACATATACGTCGACTCGCGGCCGCCATGTTCGAGCGTGCCGACACCTCGTCCTGGAGTCATATCCGGGATCTGGCGCCGTGGCACGCTCGACCCCCAGATAGAAGGAGATTACCGCGCGACCTTGTTGCGGACTAGAGAAACCCCGGAAGGAAGGCGGTCCACTGACCCCCGGGTATCGACAGTCCCGACCCAGCCTCTGTTGCCTCTTTCGTTCGCCTGTGCCCCGCCGCAGGGGCAGACCTTGGTCTGCCCCTGCAGCGGGACGACGACGAACACAAACATCCAAAACCACATATAATGCACCCGTCGTGTTGTATGTTTACAGTACCTGCTGTTGCTGCGACCGCCCTCACCGGACAACGAGCACCTGCGCCTATTTGAAATAGGAACATCGTGCGCAGGCGGGGACGACCGCCGCCACAACAAAAACAACACGACAGGGTGCTCCGCAGACCGCGAAGCGGTGCGGATCGACCCAAACAAGTGAAACTTCCAATAAAAATCCCGGACGAGACACCAGAGGGGTCGCCGAGTAAGCCGCCGCCTCTGTCGCTGGTCGCCCGGAGCTGGGCCTCCCCAGGTACTGCCTGGGGTCTCACCTGGCTCGGGCTCGGGCTCGACCGCTTAGGCGGCGTGAAGATCGGCAACCCCCCTCCAAATAAACATCCAAAACTAAGGACATCCCACGACCTACCCCTGTTTAGGGGTAGCAATAGACACTGCTGGCGGGGGGCTAAAGCCCCGATCGCGAATCTGTTGTGTTTGTTTGCACCTGAAATACCGTACCACCCCGCGACACCTGTGTAACCAAGGGCTGGCCGTGCGCTCCCTGGAGCGCCAGCCATGCCAAAATATATCACTAGCCCCTCCGAGGGCCAACCATCACCTACGTCACCGCAAGACGCGCATACCCCTCGCGCTCCGCGGGCTCGAGCGCCCCCTGCGCTCGCCCGCGTTGATCGAGAGGGCTTGTACCACCAACACGCGCTTCAACCTGAAACACCAAGACCGGCTGCACCCAAGCCATCCACGGATGACCTAATACGCCGCCGCAGCTCAATGCGACCGCGACCCATCTCTGGCCCCCTGACCCGTACCGCTCCGCCGCCCTCCTCAGCAGCGTCGAGCGACGCGTCAGCCCCCACTACCCCCGTCCATCACCGCGGGGCCGCCCCACCGCGCCAATCAGCGATGGAGTCGCCGGCCCCTCGCTCTTTATGCTCGTCCGCGTCGTCGCTGCACTCCGCCGAGGGGGATAGCGACATGGAAGCCCACGCCGTCCGCCCATCTGCTCCTTCGCGACCGGAGACACCACGAGCTGTGCCTCTGTCCGCGGAAAGCGAGCCTAAGAGGAGGTCGCTATCCTTCTCTGCGTTTGAGCGGCCTTCGGCTATGGACACGGACGCGCAAACAACCAAAGCCCGAATCCGCCGACCGCGTAGCCCGGAAGAGGACACCGAGGCTAAGCGGTACAAACCCGCCCCCCAACGCGCGATTGGCGCGATACGCCGGAGCGGTCGAGGGCAGATCATACGCCCTTGTGGTGACATCCCCACCACACCCACCACAACCGAAATCCCAGCCGCCACTGCAACCAACGCTGCACATCGCAGCGACACAACCGCCGCCGCTACAAACGCTACTGCCGCCACCGCGACACCGCAGGGGGAGGAACGCAGGCGCAGATACCCGCCCCTCATTGTTGAGCTATTACCGAACTGGGCTCAACACATGAGGGAGCTGAAAAAACAACTCGGCAGGGCCGCGAACGCCCGCCCGTTCGGGAAGGGCCTTCGCTTCACACCGAGGGACGACCAGGAGTACCGCCTGATCCAGCGCTATCTAACGGCAGAGGTAATCTCCTGGTTCACGTACTCGCTGCCGGAAGAACGAAGCCTCAAGGTGGCCATTAGAGGGCTACCCAGTAACGCCACTCCACAAGAGGTCGAAGAGGAACTCAGGGAATTAGGCTACGACCCGGAGTATGTCCGGAACATCCGGGGTCGCGGCGACCGCCCGGGGTGTATCCTCCTCGCAATCCTTCAGAGGACTGCCACAACAGTGCCGGGGATCTACGACGTCGACGAGATGCTCGGTATCCCCGGTGTTAAAATAGAAGCCTGGAGGAGCAAAAGAAGACCCGCGCAGTGTCACCGCTGCCAACAATTCCGGCACAGCAGCCATAACTGCCACAGAAGGTTGGCATGTGTACGCTGCGGCGGTGACCACCCAGCGTCAAGCTGTCCGCGCCCGCGGGAGGAACCCGCCACCTGCGCAAACTGCGGGGGGGAGCACCCCGCAAATAACGTCAACTGTCCCGCCTTTCAGAGGGAACTGAGGAACAGAAAGGCGGGCACGGTCGCCAAGACCGGCGAGCCACACCAAGGGCCAGCGCCAGTAAACCCGCAACCCAGAGGAGAAAGGGGACATGGGGCTTCACTCATGGCGGCTGCAAACGCCCCCACCCAACGCGGCGGAGTAGCTGCCACCGCCTCAAAAAGAGGGCGAAGGAGGAGGAAGAGGGGCAGACAGGGGAAAGCCCAAATAGAAGCCCCCCAACTCCAGATAAGAAAAACCGACCTTGCGGCGGAGCGACCGTCTACCTCTAGCCGTCCAGTCGCCAAGCGAGTTACCACCGCCGCGCCTACAGGCGCAAAGGTTGTAACAACACACACAAAAGGACAGGCAGCGGTCAAACAAGCGACCAGCGCCGCAAACTACGGCGGGAGGGAGACGGCCACCCCGCTACACAAAAAAGTTGAAAAGCTAGAGGCAGTCATCAAAGACGCCCTTCTCATCCTGTGCCAAATCGCTGCTGCCATTGGAGAGAGGCAGGATGAGAGCACCATCAGAGGCATTGCCCTCAGAGGTGTCGCGACATTATCAAACAGCATCAATGGATAGCGCACCACTGAGGGTACTACACTCGAACGCCCGCGGTCTAGCTCGCAAGGTCGCACTCCTTCGCCCCTACTGCAGGAACAGGATATCGACGTGGCGCTGATAAGCGAGACGCACCTGGGACCTGCAGACAAAATAAGATTCCCGGGTTACCTCGTTTAGCAACATCGCCTATCGTGGTCTGGCGGTACTGATAAGGAGACGAGTCGTACACCAACCACTCCCATTGAACACCTACAACGCCACCTACACGCTGGGTGTTGAACTACACCTGGGCGGCGCACAACTCAAACTCTACGCCGCCTACAGAGCACCAAGCGCCCGGGCGGACTTCAGCGACGTACTAACATTGTTGCAGGGGGACCGCCCGGTCGTCATCGCGGGCGATTTAGACGCCAAACACCCAGCGTAGAACTCGAACACATCAAATAGTGCTGGTGTGCGACTACAAAATGATACCGAGTCCCGGGGTTACGTGGTTGCCGGCCCGGAGGTACCCGACGTGCTGGACATAATTGTCCACAACGGTATATGCCGCCAGATCTCACAGCAAGTCCTTGACGACGAGCTACTGTCTGATCACCAGCCGGTGCTCGTCGTCATAACACAGCAGCCAACGCGGGTCGCCCCTCCCGCGCCACGTCACAAAATTACTTGGGACACTTTCACAGGTACACCACTACGCCTTCTCGGCCGGTCAACTCCGCTGCCGACTTGGAGAGGCTGGCAGCCGAGCTGACGGACAGCATTAGAGGCGCCCTTGACTCGGCTAAGATGACTATCCCGCTTACCCAGGGGCGATTACCACCCTTGCCGGCTCACCTCAAGGCAATGCTAGTCGACAAGCGGCGCCTCTGACGACAATGGCAGAGTCTACGCTGCCCCACACTCAAGGCCAGATTAAACCGGCTCACGGAGAGAGTGAAGGCCGAGATGAGCGCCTACACCGCCGAGAGCTGGAAGAGACATATTGAGGACATCAGAGATGATTGGTCCTCGATCCATCGCCTGTGCCGCCGCTTTACCAACACCCCAGCTGCGGTGCGTCCACTGCTACACGCAGACTGGGCACCCCGATACCAGGCGGGAGACCGTGCGGATATCTTCGCGGATGACATGGAGCATCAGTTCAGACCGAACCCAGACACAGAACCCGCGCACACCGCAGCAGTTGAGTCACACCTTCGAGAGTACTTCGCCTCGCCGATAGCTCCCGAAGAAGACCCCGGCAATGGTCAAGAGCATCATACGCCGAACCAAGCCACGAAAGGCCCCGGGCGCAGACGGCATCACCAACAAAAGGCTGCGCCACCTGCCGCACAAAACAGTGGCAGCGTTGGCGCGCCTATACAGCGGCATCCTGAGTACGGGCCACTTCCCTAGCCTATGGAAGGAGGGACGCGTTATTATGCTCCTAAAGCCGGGGAAGAATGTACTGAAGCCGGAGAGCTATCGGCCGATAACTCTACTACCCACCACCTCGAAGGTGTTTGAACAGCTCCTGCTGCGTCACCTCATCCCGCACATCACACCCAGACCGGAGCAATATGGTTTTCAGTCTGAACATAGAACGACTCTACAACTGTCGAGAGTACTGCACAAGATTACGGCGGCGCGAAATAAGCGCGAGCACGCCGTTGCAGTATTTCTCGACATGGAGAAGGTCTTTAATCGGGTCTGGCACGCCGGTCTCCTTGAGAAACTATCCACGACGACGACGCCCCGGCGTGTAGTAGAGGTGGTCTCCTCTTTCCTAGCCAACCGGACTTTCCGAGTGGTGGTGGAGGGCGAGATTTCAACCGTCCGCAACATAGCGGCCGGCGTCCCACAGGGAAGCTGCCTATCGCCTGTGTTATACTCACGTTTCACAGACGACATCCCCCTCGCAGAGGGCGCCGAACTGGAGATGTACGCCGACGACGCGGCGTACATCTCTACGAGTATCCAGCTCCGCCACGCCGGGTCGAAATTACAGCGATCCTTAGACCTCCTGCCTACCCTACACTTATGGCACAAAACATTTTGAACAATTTAACAACTTAAAACTTTGGCAACTTAAAATTTTGAACCTACCCACACCGATACTTGTTTGTTTACTAAACAAATCTTGTAACACTTACTGTTGCTGCGGCCACCCCGCGGCTCGCGAGCACCTGTGCCTACTTGGCCCAACAATAACGAACAACACACTCCGCAGACCGCATTGCGGTGCGGACTGCCCCACATACCCCGGAAGATACACCAGAGGGTTGCAAGTAAGCCGACGCGTCTGTCGCTGGTCGCCCGGAGCTGGGCCTTCCCAGGTATCGCCTGGAGTCTCACCTGGCTCGGGCTTGACCGCCGAGGCGACAAGAAGACCGAAGCAACCCTTCACGAACAAGACGCTACTACCAAATGTACACCCCATGACCTACCCCTCTTCAGGGGTAGCGGTAGACACCGCTGGCAGGGGGCTAAAGCCCCGATCCAACCTCCACGCGTCCCCTACGGGACTGTGTGATGACAGCGCTGGGCTCATTCCAGTGGTCTCGAACCTACCCATTATTCGGTATTTCTACCGATATGGGCTCTGTTCTACCGAAATATTGAAATATTACAATTTTTCTACGATTTCAGAGAATACATGGAAATTCTCCCGATTTTTCTACCGATTTTACACTTTTAAGTTGGCAACCCTTTTCATTTATGTTTAATGTTACGGGGAAGCCCCTAATAGTATGAACTTAGTGCAGAATGTTCCATATACTGGGTCTACCAATAAGGAAGACCTGGATTTGACAGCTCATAGCGGCCATGTTTGATGATGGATGGAACTTTACTGAACACAAATGTCAAGAGACATGAAAGCATGTCTCTTGACATTTGTGTTCAGTAAAGTTTGCCATTTTATCATGTCACGTTTCACTTTAAACCAACGCTTGGAAATTGTCCAAAATTATTACGCAAATTCGCGTTCTCCTACCGCTACAGTAAGAGCGCTTCGCGCAAAAAACGGTCATCATAGTGCTCCTTCTGCGCGCGCTATAAATCGCATAATAACAAAATTTAAAAGTGAATTCACTCTCCACGATACTGCCGTGCCTGTGAGGTAAAGAAATGCCCGTAGTGAAGAGAATATGCAGCCGTTCAGGCCAGTGTTGATGCGAATTCAAATCTATGAGTTCTACGCCGTTCACAAGAGTTGGGGCTCACTCCAATGACCACCTGGCGTATTTTGCGGTTGGATTTGGGCTTTACACCCATACAAAATTGTTTTAGCACAAGAATTGAAGCCATCCGACCATCGTATCCGTCGTGAATTTGCCGATTATGCACTGGAAATGATGGAAGCCGATGACGATTTTCATCGTAAAATCATCTTCTCAGATGAGGCCCATTTCTGGCTCAATGGATTTGTTAATAAACAAAATTGTCACTATTGGAGTGAGTCAAATCCACGTGTGGTTCATGAATCACTTCTTTCGACTTCCAAAATTGCAAAGGTAGAATGTACATTCAGCTCAAAACATTTAGCAAAAAACGGTTCAAGAATGTCGAAGCACATACAAAACTGTAAAAAATGTCCCAACTCTGTAAAAGAAAAATACATACAATCAACTACAGCAGTTTTAGAAAAAATGGCAGAAAAACGTAAGTAAAAGTAGTTTATCATATCATAATTTATATATTTTACACCTTAAGAATAATTTTCTAGGACATTTGTTTACAATCTGTCTGTGTGTACAATTATACATTCAGACTTTTAAGTACACTCAAGCTCAGCTACGGTTAAACACTCGAAGTGCCATTGTAAGTAAGCGTAAGAACTGTATCACAAAACTGTGTACAAAGTCCAAATAGTTTATTAACCCGATCTGCGAGCTCGAATGTACACTACGCATCTTATAATATTATTTATTTTCCATGTCATTTATTTAATAATTTGTCAATTTAGTCAGGAAAAATTGCCTTTCAAAGTAGGTGTGAAGGTGTGATGTGTTGAGTGATGAAATTTTTGTTTCTTTTCAGAAGAATCCAGTGATACAAGTCCTTTTACGTCCGCTAAGTCGAAGATATCCGGCGGTATAACATCATTTGTAGACAAAATGAACCCAGCAGACCAAGATAAAGCAAATGAACTACTCAGCAGAGCAATTTATGCAAGCAGAGCACCCCTTAGCATGATGGACAATCCATGCTGGAAAGATTTTTTTTCGTTCCTTCGACCCGCATATAAAATACCTTCAAGGTATATGTTGTCAGGTCCGTTTTTGGAAAGAGAGTACAAAAATGTATCAACTATGGTGGCTGAAGCAATCGCTAATGCTAATTCTGTCGGACTGGCTGCAGATGGATGGAGCAACATCAGGAATGAACCTATTGTAAATTTTGTTGTTACAACACCGAAACCTTTTTTATACAAAGTTTTACTGACCGGAAAATCATCTCACATTGGCGAATATATGGCTCACGAAATAAGTTGTGTGATTGATGAAATAGGACAACAAAAAATATTTGGACTCGTGACCGACAATGCAGCGAATATGAAATCAACTTGACAACTTGAAGCGAAATACGAAAAGACAAACCTATTTACATATGGTTGCCTAGCTCACTGTATCCAGCTTATATTTAATGATCTAAAAGATTTGTCATCGTTGAAAACTCGTATTTGTTTTTTTTCTATTTGCAACCCTACACCAGGGATACAGTGGTTAAGAAGATTAATAATCTTCGAACTACATATAAAAAAAGAGTTCAATAAAATAAAAAAATCGTGTAAATCTGGAGCAGGGACTGACGAGATTTATAAACCTTGTTTATGGTACTTTGAGTTATTGAGTTTTTTATACGATCAAGAAGTACCGAGACCATCTACATCGGATATGATGATGATGACGAAAATGAGGTAAGTTTTTATTTCTGAAAAAATATTTATTGCTTAATTATATTACTCGAATACAAGTCCTGTATTTTGACATTAATGAACAAAATTGTCTTGCCAAGGAACTTTCCCTTCAGTTACAAAATACGTCATAAATTGACTTCTTATCTGATTTGCTGTTTAAATTGTACGGCCTTGTGTAGTTCTTTGTAATGGTTCAAGTATTGAGTCCTTTGTTGTGAATCCTGACGTTATCGTACCTTCCTCATAATGTTCACTATCGAAACATTCTGAAGGAGCGTATGAATTAAGCGATGATGACATCAAATAATTATGCAAAGCACGGGTTGCTCTTACGACTGACCCAATAGTTTCAGGCTACATATTCATTTGTGTTCTGTAAATTCTGAACCTCGCTGCTAGTATACCAAAAGCGTTTTCGACTATACGGCGTGCTCGCGATGTCCGATAATTATATATCTTCTTAATTCTACTATCTAAGTCATTTTGCCGAAATGGCTTCATCATGTCCTTTCTTAGAGGAAACGCGTCATCAGCTACAAATACATATGACAGTATTCGTGGACTGTTATGTAACCTTTGTTCTGTAGGAATATTTGACGGCTTTTTTTCAAGTTTTTCATAAAATTTTGTATTCAACAAAACTCCGCCATCGGAAACCCTTCCATTTGTCCCAAAATCAACTAACAGGAATCTGTATTTTGCATCAACGATTGCTAGTAATACCATACTGTGTCTATGTTTATAGTTATAATAAAACGAGCCACTGTTACTTGGGGGAACGATTTCAACGTGCTTGCCATCAATAGCACCTAAACAGTGAGGAAAGTTCCACTTCTGCTCAAATTCTCTCGCTATTATTCTCCACTCTTCTTCTGTTTTTGGATACTATAACAAAATGAGTACATGATTGGTATAGTAATTTCAGGAATATAATAGTTCTTCTATTTTACAGACGCAGTCAACCACCGGCATCGGCTCAACGAGCTACGATTGTCCAGACAGCGATCGAGACACACCAACACTGGCCTATTCCGACAACGAATCAGACACACCGACCCCGGCAAACCGTTCTGACAGCGAACGAGCTACATCAATATCAGGTCGTGTACGGCCAAGACCAAAAAAAAAATACATTAACTGAAGACGTACTTAAAAGTCCGTAAATGATCATTTTAAAAGGCCTAAACAACCCGATAATCGTTTTCAGGATTTTGGCAAAAATGTTGGGATGAAACTACAAGAGTTACCAAAAGAACAGAGAATTATAGCAGAAAAAATAATTAATGAAACTCTGTTCTTGGCTGAAATGGGTAGCTTAACTATATCACACACTGTAAGAAAATATGATGACTGCAAATACTAGTGGGTAAAAAACTAGAAAATATTGTTCGCTTGTTAACTTTGTGCTATCATTAGGCAATGAGAATAAATTTCCTAATGATAGCACAAAGTTAGCACTTACGAGGTGTTTGATCTACCGAGTACCTACCTAATATAATAAGGCACTGATTTAAAGAGGCAGTTGCCAATAGCAGTTTTGGTATGTTAAAAATTATAAATGGCACGTTTAATCACTAGTTCAGCAGTTAAAACTAAGCAGTAAAGTGAACAAGAATTAGTAATAGAAAATAATGAAATAACTGCTCAATATGTTTTTCGACTGATCATAATAACATCTCGAATATTTAAATAGGTAACAGCTCAAAAAATTAGTTCCCAAATGATAATTGTTTTATAATACACTCCAAAAAATTAGCAGCATGCAGAATTTTTTGATGCTTGTATGTAGATAGTGTTAATGTTGTAAATATTCTAACTTAATTTTATTTAATTTTCACATTCTTGCTCCTTTTATTAGCTTTAATTTTTTTTTGTTATATTTAAGTGATCTTATTAGAAATAAATTCATTCTACAAAAAAAAAAGCATAAGAGTTGATTTTTAAAGTTTAAATACATATTTTTTTGACATCATATTTTTTTTAATTTTAGTTTTATATGACATGACTCAACCACTATTTAAGGATGACTTGCTGGTAAATATGGTACCAGAAGAAGTTCTACGCTCACTAGAAGATAAATCTGTTTCGAATAGAAATATACTGGACATGGAAATAGAAACTCCATCTACATCGAAAGACATACTTCAGAGTCCAGGTAAGAATAGTTATACATATATCAATTTATTATTAAAAAGTTAGGTTTTTTGATTAACTTATTTTTACTGATCTTGATGTCAACAGAAGGATTTTTGTCTAAAATTAAAGGATCTATGTTCCTACATAGATCTAACTTTAATAAATTCAAAAAAATGGAATTTCCCAATACTATCATAGTATATTTTTTATTTTCAGTTACATATAAAAAAAAGATGATCTGAAATACCTGATTAAATTGCCCATCAAAGAAGTACACAAGACTGGTCTGCAAGTTATTGCAACAATATTTGATCAGTCACAATCAAATATAAGTGTTATTAAAAGTTTAAGAGAAGATACCACAAGAGAATATTTGAAGAAAGAATTAGAACATAAGTCTTGTTCTTTTGAGATGGACAACCTCAAGATATACCCACTTTTTGATACTCCACATCTTTTAAAAGGAGTGTGTAACAATTTATTAAAAAAAAGATGCGAAATTTAAAGAAGATAGCATTGAGAAGCATGCAAAATGACCATATTAAGATATTGTTTAGTGAAGATAATGGAGAACATGAAATAAGGCTTGTCAATAAATTGACAGAATTCCACATTTTTTAAAGTAAAATTCCTAAAATGAAGGTGAAACATGCAGCTCAAGTTTTTAGCCAAAGAGTATCATCTGCATTAAGATTTTTCGCAAGTAAGTATTAATAATTATTATGTTACCTATTTATTTACCTTTAGCTAACTTTTAATTATTATTTTTTAACCAAAATTGTCATAATTCCACTCTAAATTAATATTTTTCAGTTTAGTTTATATGTAGCAAGTAATCTCTACAACTACTTAACCAATTCTAAGAATTCTTTCACTGAGACATTTCACTATTACCTACTGATTAATATAGACTATATGGACAAGCTTATGGGCAAAGTGCTAGTATGATAATATTTATTCATTAAACTTTAAAATAAGTGTTTGTTTACAAAGTCTACTAAAACTAATAAGTGGCTAATTTAAATTGATTTTTTCACATATACATATTTTGTTGTTCACTCATGGATCATAGTATAGTAATCAGATTTTTAAATTTTGTTACTGACCTGTTAGAATCGTTGAAATTCAAAAGAAAATAATTTTCTTTTTCCGGGCACAAAATATTACCTCCAGAATGTCAAGACACGGCGAGCTTCCTACTAATATTCGACAAATTATTTGATTTCTTCAATGGTCACTGTTATTCGGGTACAGAAAAGGAATTGAAAGGGTGCCTTAAAAAGAATTCCCCTCATGTGAACTTTTGGAAAGAAATTCTTCTGATCAGGGATCTGAGGATAGGGGGGTAGGGGGCAAGCAAACCAACACACGTGTGTGTACACTTGTACAGTGCATATGAGACGTTTGAGCGTGTGAACTGTGTTGTTTACGAAAGTTTGTTAACGCTTATAAAAAATGCTTGATTCACTTATAACTTTAATAGAGGATTGACCCGTGTTGTGGGATAAAACTTTGGAAATTTATAAAGATAAACGGCTTACTTTCGAAGCATGGAGAGAAATATGTATTATCCTTAAAGAAAATTTTGAAAAAATGACAAGCGTAGATAAAAATGCATATGGTAAGTATTACATTAATATAAGTATTATTGTAAATAACAGCTTTAGTTATTTAAGTTAGTCGTAAAAAAAATACCTTAGTTAGTTATAAAGTTTAAGTCCTTTTGTTTTATAGTTTAGAATCTAATAAGATTATACCTATAGTGTTTGTACTTAGCTTCTATTCTAATAAGACTATGTTGTAATAAGATTCCTACACATCACTTTACATCGCAGCAATTTCTACGCAAACAAGACTTTCATTTCAAAATAAACCTACGGAAATACAGCAAAACGATTTGGACGCCTGCTAACGTTCCAAAAAATGGTCCTTCGTCGTCGGATCTCTTGAACTTGCAAGAAAAAACGAAGAGTTACTGCTTCAAGAGAACAAAGAAGATTTTCAAAAAAGAAACAAGTACGCGCGAGTTATTAGTGTTGGTTTGCTTGACCACACTAAGATACTTGGAAGCATTTATCATATACGTACGTGGCCACCAAGCGGTGATAAACGGCCATCAAGCGTACGGAAGCATAGTGGACTACCTGACGACTCCACGCACCCTTCACGGGTGTAACAGTCAGACCCCGCCGGTAAGGAGTGGACCGCTTTGGAGCCACAAGTTGGCACGCAACGACGAGTGTGGACATTCCCGCCACACTCTGATGCACCCGTAAGCGCCCGCATCCTCTGCCGGGAGGTTCCTACCCTTCCTTACCTAAATCGTTCCCATTCCAGGTCCGACATCACCGCGGTAGGAGTTCGGCCAGGCTGTTAGGCAAGTTAGATACCAGTTCAACAGTAGAAAGTGAAAAGTGAAAGTGTTAGTTTTAAGTAATTATTAGGCGTAGGGACTCCTCGTGCGCAATGGAACATTCAAGAATGTTACGTTCCGGCAAGTCGACGCTCGTAACAGACGCCACGCCACAGTCGGGCCAAACGGGCTCGACGGAAACAGAAACGTGGAGTAAAGGCACCGGCACAGAAGAGTCGTCCGGTAACAGCAGCACGCGTACCGAGAGGGCCCACAGAGTAGCCAGCGATAAAAACCCGACGGCAGATTTAGATACTCAAGTCGTAAGTGCGCCGGCCACAGTAGTAAATGTCCCCTCGGACCGAGCGAGTAGTCGATTGTCTGTATTAAAAGCCGAATTAGAGTTGCATAATTCCGAGTTAGCACAGGCTAGGGCGGCGTCCGCAGCTAACTTAAGTCGTTTGGAGATAGCCAGAATAGAACTGGAAAGCTCCAACGGCGCGGAACCGCCTAATGTTGAAGGATGGATCTCGGATCAGCACATATTTAGTAGGCCGGAAATAGGAAACAACGCTCAAACCTCGGGACAGCCCATACGGCCACTTGAAGCGAGTAGGAGCGAACCACGCGTAGGCGCGAACACGTCGCATAATAATGTTAACGACATGTCGATGCTAGCCAACGCGATAGTGCAAGCGGTTAACTCCAACAAATGTAGCTCAGCGGTACCAAAGTACATTCACGAACTGCCCCATTTTGACGGGACAATAGCGGAGTGAATGTCATTTAAGGCGATCATAATGACACGGAGGACATGTTTACAGACGTTCAAAACGTGGCCCGCATTCGAAAAGCGCTGCGAGGCGCGGCCCGCGAAACCACTAGGGCATTATTATATACAGTCTCGGATCCGTACGAAATAATTGATACGTTAGAAAGACGATACGGCAGGCCGGAGTTACTCGTCCTATCCGAATTAGAAAATATCAAACGCATGCCACGCATGTCCGACGATGGACGCAACTTATGTAGTTTCGCGACCAAAGTTGCGAATACGGTAGCGGCAATAAAAGCGGCGGCGGCGGCGGCGGCTTGAAGCCTGTGTCCACAAACAGTTCTCCCACTTTATTTATGGTAACAATTTATTGAGTCCTCTTCAGTCGGGATTTCGACCAGGCCATAGCACGGTTACTGCTCTTCTTAAAGTGACTGGTGATATTAAGGTGGCGATGGAGAATGCTAAGGTTACTACCTTGGTACTGGTTGATTTTTCCAATGCCTTCAATACCGTCAGTCATGAACTCCTCCTTGCTGTCCTATCCCATTTCTCGGTCTCTCAAGAAGCACTGGACTGGTTCTCCTCTTACCTTCAGGATCGTCAGCAGTCAGTCAGGACGGAAGATTCTTCCTCTGGCTGGCGCGGTCTTTCTGCTGGCGTCCCACAAGGCAGTATTCTTTCACCTCTTCTATTTTCTATCTTCATTAACCTCATCACCCCAAGACTTCAGTGTTCCTATCATCTCTATGCTGATGACTTGCAGTTATACTATCAAACTGAGTTGTGCGATGTATCGTCCGCGGTCTCGATCCTAAATAGTGACCTGGCGGCCATTAAACACTGGTCAGATATGTTTGGCGTATCGGTGAACCCGAATAAGTGCCAAGGTATTATCATCGGAAGTAACCGTCGTATGAGTCAGCTCGACCTTGCTTCACTACCGCCACTTATCTACGATGGCATGGTTATTCCATTCTGTGAAAGTGTGAAGGACCTCGGATTGTATATTGACACGACTCTTAGCTGGCGAAAACAAGTTGCATCTGTGTGCCAGAAAGTCACAGGCTCGTTGCGGGCCCTCTATAGGCTTAAGAACTTTCTGCCAATAAAAACTAAAGTAATGCTTGCCCAGACCCTTATAATCCCTATAATCGACTATGGTGATGTGTGCTACTTTGACCTGAATGCAGATCTGCTCAATAAGCTTGACCGTCTTTTCAACAATTGCATTCGATTCGTTTTCAATTTACGCAAATATGATCACGTGTCGCAGCATCGCTCCCATTTGGGGTGGCTTCCAATTCGCCAACGCAGAGAGACACGAGCATTAACTACCCTATATTCTTTACTTTTTTCTCCTAGTTCTCCTTCCTACTTAACAACTCAACTTCAATATTCAGGGGCAAACCATGATAAAAACCTTAAATCTTCAAGCAACCTCCTTCTTCACTGTCCCACTCACCGCTCTGACTTCGTACATTCTACCTTTCTGGTACAATCCGTCCTGTTATGAAACGCGCTGCCTCGCGAGATCAGGATGGCAAAAACTCGGCAAACTTTTAAATACCTGTTGCGGAAACATCTCTTAAACTCCTTATCAGATCTACCGTGATACCGTCTCTCTTCTAAAATTTATTGTGTGTATGTATGTATATGTATATATATATATATTATGTATAGATATGTATGTATAAATGTATATTATTATGTAAACATAATATATGCACACAATGTGCATATGATATTCTATTTATACTATTTTTTTTTTTTCTTTTAAATCACATTTCTAATTTCTGTGCATCTACCATTTTTTTTTTAACTCTGCATCGCCCTAAGGTCGACTGGTAGAAAATGCCTACGGCATTAAGTCCGCCTGTGTCACATTTGTGCATAAAGTATAAAATAAATAAATAAAAAATAAAAACACTCAAACAACCGCAATACCTATATTCGCCCGAGTTAGTAAATAGAATAGGAGATAAGTTAAGTACTATTCTAAAATATAAATCTCAAGGCTCGACACTGACGTTGGTCGAACGGGAGGTGGCGGACGATGTCATCCCTAGGGGAGGCGGCAAACTCTTATCAATAGAAGGCGTAGGGGGAAATCGAATCGACGATACGGAGTCGTGATGCGTTAAATTGTCTATACGTGGCTTATATAATAGAAACATAGAAACAATGAATGCGCGAACTATAGGTAATCTAAACTTATCACCGCAGGAAGTGAGCAAAAACTTAACGCGCCAGTGTAGCCACCTCGCCGACATAGAGGAGGAATTGTGTTACGAGTTAGGTAAACCTACTATATTAATAGGCCAGGACAACTGGCACTTGATAACATCTAGATAGTTGCGCGTCGGCAATAAAAATCAACTCGTGGCTTCGCTAACTAAGCTAGGATGGGTACTGCATGGACAAGATTCACGGCCGCGTAACACAGTCGCTATCATAAACCACATGCGACCCGCTCAAGTAGACGACCAGGCGTTACAACTGATAAGAGACTATTTCAGTTGGTTTATACACCTTCCACCAAACCTTGGCAGCGTTCGAGCGACCGGCGCTAGTCAAGACGCCGGAAGAAGTCGACGCAGCGGCGGACGAAATATCGAGAGCTCTACAGACAGCACTGCGCGCCTCCACTAGCACCAGGCCGAGATCGGAACGACAGGACCCATTGCCACACCGCATCCGGAAAATGCTAGAGGAGAAGCGCGAAGCTAAAAAACTCTGGCAACGTACCAGACACCCTAGGGCCAAAGCCCGGTACAACCAAGCCACCAACAAGGTTAAGGCCGCACTGTGGGAACATAGAGGCGATGCGTGGGAGGACGTCCTGCTCACCATCGAGGACGAGCAACCCTCCATCCACCAGCTCTGCAAGAAAATATCTGCAGAGCCTACCCCCACACGCCCCCTGTTCGGACACGACGACCTTCTACGGTACCAAGCACAAGACCGAGCCGAGTTCATCGCTCACAGCCTCGAAAGGCAGTTCATGCCCCACGCAGACCAAGACGAGGACCACACACGGCGGATAGAAGAGGCAACCAAGACCTACCCCTCTACCCCCTATGACCAAATAGACGGTGTCACACTAATGACCCCTGCGGAGGTCGCAACGGCGATCCGCAGAACCAACCCAAGGAAGGCACCCGGTGAGGATGGCACCCCCAACACAGCTATGCAACGTCTACCCCGCAAGTCACTAATCGCCGCTACCCAACTTTTTAACGGCATTCTCAGAACCGGCCACTTCCCAACCATCTGGAAAAAAGGCAGGGTCATCGCCCTACCCAAGCCCGGCAAAGACCTGAGGAGGCCCGAAAATTACTGGCCCATTACCCTTCTCTCAACGACGTCGAAACTTTTCGAGCGTCTACTGTTGGGAACGATCCACACCCACATCCACCCGAGGGAGGAGCAGTTCGGGTTCAGACAGGAGCACTCCACCACACTATAGCTGACACGCGTCCTACACGAAATGGCCACATGGCTGAACAAGGGCGGACACACGGCGGCCGTGATGCTCGACATGGAGAAGGCTTTCGACAGGGTGTGGCATGACGGCCTCATCCACAAACTGTCGACGACCTCCCTTATTTTTTTTCCGTTTTTCGACGACCTCCCTGCCGCGAAGAATCGTCGAGATCATCGCGTCGTTCCTTTCCCAGAGATCCTTCTGTGTGGCCGTTGGGACGCCACATCGAGCGAGAAGGCCTTCTTGGCAGGAGTCACACAGGGAAACCAACCCTCTACGCCCACTACACGAACGACATGCCCGTCATCGGAGACGTGAAACTGGCACTCTTCGCCGACGACGCCGCGTTCCTCTCCAGTTACACTCCGACATAGGAAGCACTTCCGATCTAGCTGAAAAAGTGGCGGCTCAAATGCAACGTGGCCAAGACTCAGGCGCTAATAACCGGCAGGAAACTCCTGCCACCGAAGATAAATCTGATGGGGGAGGACATCCCCTGGTCTCCCAAAGTCAAATATCTGGGTGTCACTATCGACAGGAACTTGACAATGTCGCACCACGTGGAAACCATCACCACGAAAGCAAAGTTTGCGAGGACGAGGCTGCGTCCTGTCCTATGCCTGTTGTCATCAAGACTGCCACTCCGAGCGAAGCTCGGCATCTATAAAACTATCTATATATCAGGTAGCGCCTAACCTTCTCCGGGCCGACCTGGTACAACCTGACATCGGGGTCGATGCGCCAAACGCGTTTTCTACGCAAACAAGACTTTCATTTCAAAATAACCATAAAATCAGCACCACATCAAGTTTTACCATAGCTAAAACAGTCTTTATTGCGTCGGCATAGTAAAGAGTGGTGCTAATTCTGTTGTTCGTAAACTCTCTAAACTAAACTAAAAATCACTAAAAATTTGTTTAGTCCTGTCAAACAACGTTTCGTATTCTGACAACGTAGAACTATATTTAGTTTGACACAACCAAAATTAGTTAAGTTACTCAACTTAGTCCTTTTTTGCTCATTTGTTATTTTGTTGTATTTTCTAAACGTCAAAAATTGACTAAAATTAAAAACGTCACGCTAAAATTAGACGCTAGCTAGACATCCCGACTAGCCTAATTATTAGTTTTTAAGTATAAAATATAAAATTTTAGCGAATTATTTTTTTAAATGATAAGTGATTACGTGATTATAGTTTTGGTCAGTTCAGCGGAAAGGTATGTGCATAATATTATTCATCATAAATCACAAATAATTATGAGCCTTATCGGAATTATTAACCCTTAAATGGACAATGTTGTTTTTAAACAACATACTAAACATCACAGATAAAATTGACCTTCTTTTGTTTTTTTGTTAATTTTGACAACTAGTCCTTATTTCTGAACGAATTTTGTACTTTTTTTAATGTTGGCACTATCCAATATTTTTATGCATTGAAAATAAGTTAATGTCAAATGTCACTTTAAAGAAAACTTTTCTAGTGGCGCGAGACTAAGTTTTGTATCTGTGTTCGGACTTTGATAAAATATAATGTAAGTATATAACATATTTTTATTTGCTTGATTATATCTTCAATTACATGTTCATGTTGTAAAACATTGAAAATCACTTGATGCTACTGTCGAATTAGGCGAAATCTGGTATGTTGTAGGAAAACTACAATGCGCATTGCCTGCTAAATAAATGCATGTTTGGTGAAGGATTTTTATTTTGCTTTTCAGCATGCCGCGATTACTAGAAAGCGAAATTACAAAGTATTTGGAAACTCTTGAAGATTCAGAAGATGGCTTAGACGGGTCAGACTCCGAAGTAGAGGATGAAGGTCACTATTATCAAACAGCTCGAGATTTTCTTCGAGACCTTGTAAATAGTGATAAAGGTGAGAATGCCCAGTCTGATGAAGTGGATGCTGATCCTCCTCTTGTAATCGACAAGTATGAAAATATGCCAGACCCTCCTATTTTGGAAGCCGAAGAAGCAGCACCCCAGAGTAGATCACAAGGGATTTCTAAACGACCTCTGGTTTGGCGAAAACGGAATCTTATTACTACTGAAGACAGCCTTATTTTTAGGGGAGAAACTCAGATAACGGAAGCATTGATGTCTTGTAACACGCCGTATGATTTTTTTTCATTTAATTTTGCATCAGATCTAAAAAAGCAAATAGTAGAACAAAGTAACTTATACGCAGCCCAGAAACAAATCTCCAATTCTGAAAATATAAATGAAAATATCCTAAATAAATTCCTAGGCATTCTGATTTACACCTCAGTTATAAAATTTTCAAACACCAGGGCTTACTGGAGTGAAAAATTTGGTTATGATCACATAAAAAATACTATGCCGTTAAAAAAAATTGAAAAAATAAGATCCACTCTCCATTTCGCCGAAGATACGGTATGCTTGCCCAAAGATCATCCAGACTATGACAGGCTATTCAAAATAAGACCTCTTGAGGAAACGCCCAACTGCCAGTTTGGGAAGGTTCCCTTAGACCAAAGGCTTTCCATAGACGAGCAGATGTGTGCAACCAAAATGAGCCATTACATAAAACAATACATGCCCAATAAACCCCACAAGTGCGGCTTCAAATTATATCTCATCTGCAGTCTACAAGGATATGCTCGTAGATTTGAGGTTTACAGTGGAGGGGGCTCCAAAAATAACATCTTACCTGGTGAGCCAGATTTGGGAGAGTCTGGCAATACAGTCGTCAGGTTAGCTAGAATGGTACCACGCAATGTGAATCACATTATATACAACTCTGTGTACAAAGTATCGGGAATATGTCAATAAAAAGACCCGCGTAAAAGAGGTCGTTCTAATTTTTTTACTGCATGTTGGTAGCACTGTACTGATTAAGCGCCCAAAATTTGAGCGGGATCTGTCATTTAATTTGTTTTAAACTACACTTTTTGTTGGTGATAGTTTTGAGTCCTCGGCGATTTTTACAATGGAAAATATTGTTGAACAAAGAGTGTGCCTAAAATTTTGTGTTTCGAATGATATTTCTTGTGGTGAATCACTAAAAATGTTGCGAAATAAACGTGTATATCGAAAACAAGGGCTTATGAATGGTATAAGGCTTTTAAATAAGGCCGAGAAGTAGTAGTAGACTTGCCTCGTTCTGGTAGACCTTCAACCGCTACGACCAAAGAAAACATCGACAGAATCAAGAAGCTAGTGCTCGAAAATCGACGTATGAGTCTGAGAGAGTTGGCTAGTGAGGTGAACATATCTTTTAAGTCCGTCCACAACATTCTCATTGACAAATTTAGGCATGAAACGCGTCGCCACTCGACTAGTTTTAAAAGAGCTTAATTTTGTTCAAAAAGCGCAGCGAAAGCATGTCGCTGAAGACATGGTTTCCCGAGCTTCTACGGATCCGACCTTTATGAAACGTATAATAACTGGCGATACGAATAAAAGCAATTGTTTTTATAAATATCCTAATGAAGCATTAAATGGTAAAAATGAACTTATAAATTATTCTTTGCACATACATACATTTCCTTTCTACATTTGTATTTCCAAGCCTCTTTCCCATTGAGGTAGGCAGAGATCACAGCTCGCCACTCGCTATATCCTGGTATACATCTTTCACTTTCATAAATATTTTCATACATATGCGCTAATTGTGGATACTATTGATCTGGCCCTTTTTCAAAAACCTTCAATTTGATTACATCTGACTCAAAACCAGTTTGCCAGTTACTCTTACCCCAAATCTATTTTGTCAATATTTTTACATCCATCCTCTCTCTAACAAACCATATAAGTATCCCTTTCTTTACCTTGATCCCTACATCTTTTATATATCCATACCGCAACATTCCCTTATAAAGGTATTCAAGTGTGACTCGAGCTATACTTCTCACAGACTTCTCATTTCCACAGCATTCAGTTTAATATCATGCTTCTGTCTAACCCAATATTCAAATATACATGTCTGTACTTCACAGATTTTACTGTTCTGTTCTTCATTTCCACATGATAATCATTATGATGTGGAAATACAAGATCTATATATTGTTATTGAGGAAGAAAACCAAGATTTTTTGATAGTGGCAAGACAGATTCGGGAAGAATTAATACAAACTCATTTTAATTATTAGTTTTAATATATTGTCTAATTAAAGCTCTGTTTTTTATTATTTATATAATCAACAATCATCATAAAAATCCCTTTAACAAATAATAATTTAAAATAACATGTAAAAAAATCAACAAAATAAAAACAAAGGGACACATAATATAAAATGGATTAGACAAAGTTATCAAACGAGCTAGTCTTGCAGGAAGTAGTAGCAGTTTACGAAAAATACAACCATAACAATAACATAAACCAATAACAAAGTTGATACTTTACTATTGGTTAATGTTGTTGCTATGACTTGAATTATGTGTTGAAGTAATTGCTAATGCTAAGATCTCAGCAGCACGCAATGTAGAAGCACTGCTGTCTCTCAAAGCAGCAATCACTTCAGTACTATCTCTAATGGTTTCTTGTAAACTGTTACTGCTTTCTTGCAAAGAACGTAACAGGTTGTCGTAGGCAGGAAGACGTGAAGGCCTAGGCGTAATGCTTGTCTTGGCACAATCCGACGACGAATTGGGCCGGGTATTGCCGAGACACCGGATATAGGCTGCGGTTGCTCCTGTTCCTCCTGGGGCTCCTGCGGAGACTGCACAGAGGGCAGCAATACTGGTGCAGGTGGCGAGACGCGCGCAAAAGAAGGTGTTATTCCCTAGAATTTAAATAATAACAATACCTTTATTCAGTAAGAAGTGTGTATGTGGCTTAACACCTGTATCATGGCGACAGTGCTCTTCAAGCCTAATAATAGCTATACACCATTTTATTAAAGTAATATAATATGTCTCACACACAGCCGTCTGATCCCAAAGTAGGCAGAGCCTGTGCTATGGTAACCAGACTGCTCATAAACATATTTATATATTTTTAACTACATACACATTGATAACTTACACCCAGACACCGAACAAATGACCGTGCTCATCACACTACATTTTTCCTGGGTGGGAATCGAACCTAACCTAACCACTAGACCAACAGGCCCCGACCAACAGTGTATGTGAGTTCCTGTCTATGTGTGTTGTGTGTTCTCTATATCATTCATTCCTAATTTTTAAACAAAGGTAACATTTCCATTTTAATTTTTAGTGATGTCAGATTCAAATTTAATGCTGTCAAAATGAACACCAAATTTAGTTCGACCTAACAACAGAATAGCATTTTGAAAATCGCTTGACTAAAATAAGACAATTTTAGAGAATTTTTAGTTTAGTGATGTCAACAACAGAATTAGCACCAGTGTCTCAGCGCCGATTGTGAACTTTAAATACGAATATTCGATAGGTGATTAGTGCGGATTTTTTCGTCGCTATGTTGCAGTGTCGCTGAGACACTGTATCTATGACAGATGTCAAATGGTTAAAGCTTGATGTTCAAATATATATATTAGTCTATGTTGATTGTAATAAAATTATAATTAATAAATACGCTGCTTCTTCGAACAGTATACACTATAACACTGCGCATGCGCGCACGCGTCCGCGCCAAAGGTATAAAATGAGCGCGCCCGCGGCTACGACCAGGGTCTGTCAACTTTGTTCTTAGAACAAGATGTAGGTGGGGCTTGAAAACAAGAAAGAGACAACAACATAAGAGTGAAAGTGATGAATTATAAAATGTTGCCACCAAAAATACAATTTCGTATTCTCCAAAACAATGAGCTAAAAATCAATTAGTCCGGTCATTTTAGACAATTGAAATAAAGAAAATTCCGACAGAGCCAAATCTTCGTAGAGACCTTAGGTTTACCACAAGGAATAAAGCGTCAAAAGTCCCCATCAGTCCCATGTGAGCTTAGGGACTTATTCGGGGCCCAAGGTCAAAATTTTAGGTTTTTTGGATTTTTCTCGAAAACGGTAAGTTTTATCGAAAAAGTACCTCAGAGCAAAGTTGTAGATCTTAAAATTCTCTATAAAAAAAATTAAAATTATAATATATAATTAAAAATTATAGGGACCATCCCTACAATTTTTTCTCTAAGACCCACTATTTCCCAGATATTGCGCTTGTAAGAATCATGTTCTACATAGTATGCACACATATGCCACGTATATACATATTTAGGTACTCAAGCAAGCAAAAATGCCTACTCGTGTCTCTTTTATGTATACATTATACTATTCTAAGAAAATTTACTCTACAATGACCGCCGGTCCCTTACCGAATCCCCTCTACTTGAATAACATCTGGCCTTGAAAAACATCTGCCTATTCTTTTGTCCATGTGGTGTCGTTCACGTATACCTGCTTCTGTTAGTGTTGAACGAGCAGTTCGAGTGACTATACGTATTTATTACAAGCGTCTACTATTGAAGTTAGTGCTGATTAATATTTAAAAAAAAATGTCACAATTTTGCTTTACTTGTAATAAACTTTTGACTGAAGATGAAACTGTTGTGGTCAGTCGTGGAATGCCAACTTTAATCAATGCAAGTGTCGCGAGAAGTGATGAGTTTGCTGATTATTTAAGAAGCCAAAAGTCCGTTACAATTCACGTGGATTGCAGAAAATCATACACCCGGAAAACTTCAATCTCTGCATCAAAAAGACAACGTGAGGAAGAACAGGCCAGTACTTCAAAAGTAAGTCCACCTCATACTAGAGCGCGAATAAGTGAATCCAGCTTTTGTTTTAAAAACCACTGCTTATTTTGTGGCGATGAAGCGGATGAAGAAGCAGAAAAGAAGAAAGTGAAGATTTATCGCCGAAAAATTCATAAAGTTTCTACACTTACATTCAAAGATTCCATTTTAAAATTAGCTAAAGATCGTTCTGATGATGTGTCAAAAGCTGTCTTTGCGCGTATTAATTTTCAGTATGATTTAGTTGCTGCTGACGCTAAATACCATGACAGTTGTTACAAATCCTTCCTAAGACCTAATACTGGCGGTAAAATTGGCCGAAATTGGCAAAAATAAACTCTGCAATGGAGGAAATTTTCAATTTCATTGAAAGTAGCGATGACTGCCAGTTTTCGTTAGATGAACTGAAGAATGTTTGCCAAAATGTAGCTTTAGAAAACGGGATTATAAAAATACGATTGAAATTAAAGTATGGTAGTAGAATTATTATTACAGAAAAGCCTGGAAAATTACCATTTATTTGTTTTGTAGACAATTACCAAGACATTTTAAGTCAAGCCTGGTCTGATAACAAAAACTTGAATGAAAAGGAAAAACGGTGGCAAACTTTAAAAGCTGCGGCAGAAATTATTCGAGAAGATATTCAATCTTGTATATTTGATAATACTATGTACCCGCCACCGGGTAGAATGTTTGAAGATATAAAAAACTATATTCCCGAATCATTATCTTTTTTTTTGGGACAAATCATTCTTAAAAATAAGCGTCATGATTTGGATCATTTAAAGTTAGTTTGCACAAATATTAGTCATAGCATAATGACTGCTGTTCGTCCTAGATCCTTCAAGTCTAAATTACAGCTGGGTCTTTCAGTTTTTTTCCATCGGCGGTTTGGTTCAAAACGGCTTATACAAATTTTCTCATCGTTTGGTTTATGCGCATCTTACAGTGAAACAATGAAGTATGAAGTAGCAGCAGTTTTCAGTCGCCCACCTCACATTTTAACACCAGAAACTGGCACATTTGTTCAATATGTTGCAGATAATGCTGATATTAATGTATAGAATATATATGTATGGAATAGGCCTACCGGGGATACCACGTTAAAAAAAACGCGCCGAGTACACTACCTTACAGGTGGTTTGGAAATGTGTGCATATTATGTAGAACGTGATTCTTACAAGCGCAATATCTGGGAAATAGTGGGTCTTAGAGAAAAAATCATAGGGACCATTTTTATAGAGAATTTTAAGATCTACAACTTTGCTCTGAGGTACTTTTTCGATAAAACTTAAAATCCTAAAATAACTTAAAAAAACCTAAAATTTTGACCTTGGGCCCCGAATAAGTCCCTCAGCTCACATGGGACTGATGGGGACTTTTGACACTTTATTCCTTGTGGTAAACCTAAGGTCTCTACAAAGATTTGGCTCTGTCGGAATTTTTTTTATTTGATCACTATTTTTATGTCTAAAATGACCGGACTAAATGTATACATTGATTTTTAAAGAAAGTCACCCTTAAAAATACATTTTGTGATTATTCTGATACCCAAAAAATTTATTTTGCTAAGAAATATAACATATTTAATTGATTAATACACAAAAGCAAAAAAAAAGATAAGGGGGAAAATGTGTGGCAACTACTGGCAACTATGTCCGCAGACGTTTGACGTCACAAGAAAAATGTCTGCCTGCGTTCCCGCACCATTTTATCTTGTCACATCATCACATCAACAGCCTTTGATAGTCCACTGCTGGACATAGGCCTCTCCTTAGAAAGAAGGTTTTGGCCTACTATACCACGCTGGCCAGGCGGGTTGGTATAGGGTTTGTGTCAAGTTTTCCGTCTTTTTGCAGTGCTAGTGTCCTGCGTTGTTTTACGCCCTTAGTCGGTTCTTACGACACCGTTTGTGAGATATAGACTCGGTGTTGAGATAGTGACTCTTGTTTGATTGTGTGTTTAATTTTCGCGATGAGTTCGCAGAAAGAAAACACTAGAATCTGTTGCATGTGTGGATCTTCACCTTCTAAAGATTCCAGCATCACTTTGCATCGGTTTCCTAAGCCTAGCCAAAAAATGCTCTGCGGTATGTACCTACCTAAGTACTTTCCATGCTATTCGTTTTAGATGACATACAATACCATATTTTTTGTTTATGCAGCTTCTAACGACCACAAACTAACGTAAAATATAATGTATGTATATGTCGTGGCCATGTCGTAGAATAATTGATCATTTCATGATGTGGTTGACCATTTGATAAAGTGATCAATTCTGCGATATGGCTATGACATACATGGTAGTCCGTTTTGCAAAGTGAATCGGAGAAAAACGGTCATAAAGTGTTTCTTACGAACGCTGCCTTAACTATGAAATATATATTTTTGATGTATCTAATGTATTTGATACCCTTTGATTAACGTCCCATATTTCGTTACCAAAAATTATTAGGTACTTAACTATTCTTGCTTTCACCATTTCCATATTTAATATTACATCCTTTAAATCTCTTTCAATCAAAGGAAATACAGAAAGTTTAGATTGTTATTTAGATTAAACCTTATTAAAAATCTGATTATTGAGGTATTTCAATTTAATATTTTTTAATTTCCAGGTGTGAATTATGGGCAAAGTATTGCTTTCCAAACAAAGCCTGGTCTTCACCAAAATTCCAGGATGGAGTTTTGGTGAAGACTAGGCTTTGTTTGTGTTGGATGCAAAGCATCTTATGTTTTGAATGGAGTTCCCATTCAAAACATAAGATGCTTTGCAGCAAACATTTTGAAAGCACATGCTTTATTGAGAAGTTGTTCAGAACAGCTGCACCTGGTGTTCAATGCCATAAGGTTAGTACAATTAACACTTGAAAAGTGTATTTAAAGCTATTTACATTGCAGAGAAATACAGACTTTATGTTATGTGTAACACATAATATTATGTAGCAGAATGATATTGTTAACATGAAATTTAAGAAAATGTTATAACCAGTTACACAAAAGAGGTATACTTGGGCAATTACAAACATGCAAAATGAGTCATAAATCTTAAGGATCATTGGCATTTGAAACTCGTAATCACTAAGTATGGATATGCCTCAGGAATGTTTTTGTATGCATTAAAATTTTAATTTATTTTTTATTTTTGCAATTTTTTTCATTATCGATTTTTCTTTTGGTTTTTGTATTGAGCTATTTTTAAAGAAGCGTTAAGAAAATAATATGTTTGCACTTTTTTTATTTTTTGCATTATTTTCTTTTGCATTGTTTCTTTTTTCGGTGTTTGGATGAGCTTTAATTTTTTCTGTTTTTTTAATATAAAAAGACAACGACGATCTCGGGGACGACGTGGAAGTGGAGCGACTACGAGCGGGGGTCAAGGTGGTGCGCAGGGCAGGGGCCGTGTCCGCACGCGCGGCGGTCGTGGTTGTGGTTCTGGTGCTGGTACTGCTGGTCTTGGTGCTCATAGGCCCTCAGTTTCTGACTGGTAATTGCTTCTTATTTTTACTAACAAAATGCTTATAAATATTATTAATAATGTATAAAGTATTTTAAACAATTAATTTATATTTCAGTGTAACTAGTGGATCGTTGCAGAGCTATAACGAGGTTCATGATATGGAAAGGCCACTCCATGAAAGCAGGAGGAGGGAGCTGCCGTCAGTGAGGACAGTACCTGAAGGGTAAATTAATGTTAAATTATTATAGTTTATTCTATAGCAAGTGTTTCATTATTCGTATATGGTAATAAAATTAACACTTTTTTTGTAGATACCAATCCTTATGGTCGTCCATACAAGAAATGGTGTGCTCCCCTCCCCCTCCACGAGTCAAGAGTCTCCGATGTGCTCGGCTCCACCGTCTCCGGCTCTGTAAGTATACTGTTATTTTTTTAATTTTCAAATGCAATTAGTTATCAACCGTAACAATTAACATCGAATACTTATATTTGCAGGTATGTTGAATGTGGTGGGAGCGGGCAGTCAACTCTCCGAATTACCACTGTAAAGAGACCCGCGTAAGTTTTCATTTTATTTTATTTGTTTCTAAAGTTTTATTTTATGAAACAAGAAAAAATGTTTACATCTTTTTGTTGTTATAGAAATAATGACTCTACTGGAAAGGGCGAGGAGGTTCCGGCTTCGAGGCGGTGCTTGTAAGTTCAAAAATGAGCAAAATTATATTTTTAGTTATTACGATACTGATACTGATTTTCATATTTTCTAAGGATTCTTCCAGACGGGGCTTCATCTTCATCATCAGCCGTCAGGGCTCCTCCTTTGAGGGACGAGGAAATTGCCCGAATCTTGAATCATGGTAAGTGAATATTTTTCTTTCAGACCTATCTTTTAGTAGTATATATATATATATATATATCTGTTTACATAGGTAAAACAGACTACAGTATATTATTATTATTTACACAGGCAGTGAAGAGGATGCTGACAGCGATGATGAAGATGAAGATTTAGTTCAGCCAGCCTTTTTATGTCTGAGGAAGACACTGAGGTGCCACCGATAAACGCTGCTATAGGCTTTGAGTAGCCACCTTAACTTCCCTCCGGCCTGCAGCCCCAACCTAGCGCCCAGCCCGAGCCCGAACCCAACGCCGAGCCTGAACCCAGTGCCGACCTCGAAGCCAGCGAAGAGCCATACAATAAGTTTGATTTTAAGTGGAGAGGGTTTTCAGAATCTCAAATTCCTCCTGAATTGAGAAAGGAACCATTCTCCGAAATAAATTGTGGTCCCACAGTTTCATTGGCGAGCCCATATGAGGCATTTACTGCTATATTGGATCGCCAAATAATGGAGCACATTTCAATGGAGACAAATAGATATGCTCAGCAAGAGGTAACGGCCATGATTCATCAGGGGCTACTTTTGCCAACCAGTCGTATCACGCGATGGCGGGATACGAATCCAGATGAGCTGTACGTGTATTTCGCAATACTCCTAGCGACTGGGATTATTGTGAAATCACGTGCAGACTCATACTGGAATACAGCCCAGGATTTATTATCTTCTCCTGGGTTTTCAGCAACGATGAGCTTTGACCGTTACTTCTTGCTTTCTAAATGCCTCCACTTCTGTAATAATGATGACTGCAACCCACACACAATGACGCGATCGGAGGCAAAGATAGATTACAGATCATCTTAACCAGCGGTTCCAACGGTTATATATTTTATCACAAAATATTGCATTAGACGAAAGTCTGACACAGTGGAAGGGTTGGTTAGATATTAATCAATTCATCCGAAATAAAGCAGCCACAGTCGGAATCAAAACCTACGAGGTTTGTGAGTCCCAGTCTGGCTATTTGTGGCGGTTTGAAGTGCACGTAGGGCATGACGAATGTCCACAAGATAGTCCTTTGTCTGGGGTTGTGCCGGTACTTGTGCTTAAACTTCTCAATGGTCTTGAGGACAAGGGCCACACGGTTTGGATGGATAACTTTTATAACTCTCCTGCGGTTGCGCGAGAGTTAAAGTTACGGGTATTTGACTGTGTTGGCACTCTTCGCTTGAACCGTCAGTTTGTTCCCACTGAACTGACTAATCTGACCAAGGGAGCTTTGGCTGTAGGCCAAGTACGAGGGGTGATCAATAAGTAATGATAATCGAGTATTTCTAGAACGCACAAAAACCCAAATTATTTTTTTTCTGTTTGCTTATATATCCACTACTTCAGCTTCAAAAAAATGTATAAATAGGACACCATTACCGGGAGATACATTCATTTGAATACGAACTGTCGAAGAGAAAACATCAAAATGGAGAAAAATGAAATAAGAGCTGTCATCAAGTACCTCTGCCTGAAAAAAATGTCTACCAAAGACATACACAGCGACTTAGAGGAAACATTGGGGGAGTCTGCTCCTCCATATTCCACAGTCGCACGCTGGGCAAAGGAATTTAAGCTGGGCAGAACCTCCACTGAAGATGAACATCGCGAGGGACGCCCTTCCACGTCCCTTACTGGAGAAAACGTCAAAAAAGTGGAAGATATCGTGTTGGCCGATCGAAGGGTGACCGTAAGGCATGTAGCTGAGGTCACAGGGATCTCCTATGGCAGCGTTCAAAAAATCATTGTCAACAAAATGCATATGAAAAAGGTCTCTGCGCGTTGGGTACCGAGAATGTTAACCGACGACCAAAAAAAGAAACGAGTCGACATTTCGAGGGTGAATCTTCAAAAGTTCCAGGCCGATAAAGAATTTTTTTTGTCGCGTTTTGTGACCATGGACGAGACCTGGATCCACCACTTTGATCCCGAAACCAAACAACAATCAATGACTTGGAAACGAGCTTCCTCACCAACGCCGAAGAAATTCAAAGTGTCAAGTTCAGCGGGAAAGGTTATGGCGTCTGTTTTCTGGGATGCAGAAGGAATTATTATGGTGGAATATTTGGAAAAGGGGGCCACTATAACAGGCTCTTACTACGCAGGCCAACTAAGAAATATTGCGAGAAGCTATTAAGTCAAAAAGACGCGGTAAACTGCGCGCTGGGGTGCTGTTTCACCAAGACAACGCCCCGGCTCACAAAGCCGCGGTTGCGATGGCTGCCATTGAAGAAACGGGGTTCGAACTGCTCGAACACCCTCCCTATTCGCCAGATCTAGCTCCCGGTGACTTCTACCTCTTTCCTCGGCTCAAAGAACCCCTCCGGGGCAACAAATTTGAGGACAATAGTGAGGTGATGGCCGCAGTAGAGGCATTTTGGGAGGGTCAAGACAAAGAATTTTTTTCTAAGGGAATCATGGGCTTAGAAAAAAGATACACTAAATGTATTAACTTGCAAGGAGATTTAATCTTTTAGATTTTAATCTAATAGTTCTGTTTCATATTGATTATCATTACTTATTGATCACCCCTCGTATGTGGCTGCACTTCAGGCGATGTGGATCTGGTGGTATGGCGAGATAAGAACCTCGTTTCTCTTATCTCGACGTACCATGGGTTAGCAACGGTGAAGTGTGGCGACGTACTAAAGCCCTCAATAGTACCCGATTACAATGTGTGCATGGGTGGTGTTGATCGCAAAGATCAAATGATTGCCATGTACCCAATAGAAAGGCGGCGGAATCGGGTGTGGTACAAAAAGTTTTTCAGACGTCTGTTAAATGTTAGTGTCCTGAATGCGTTCATACTCCTCCGCACACAGCCACCTCTTACCCACCGAAGGTTCCGTGAAACTTTGGTAAGGGAATTTGTCGCAAAACACAAGCCACTTTCACCCTCAGCAGGTACAGCTCGACCAGTGGGACATTTTCCGGCTCAGTATGACTTTCTGGCCGGAAAACAACACGAACGCCAGCGCAGATTTTGCGTTGTATGCAAAAAACGTACAACTGCATATTGCAGGCAGTGCAATGTTCCACTGTGCGTGTTAATCTGCTTTGAGCCACATCACACTTAACAGTAACACATCACACAAACAGTATACCTATACGCACAGCTACTCAGGAACACACAGGAGTCTGAAACGCTTTATGTCGCCAGTTCAGTGGGAATTAGGAAGGTAAGTATATTTGTCCAAATCGTGAAACAGTAAGACAATTAAGGCTGTATATGTATATTTATGTATTTGTAAGTAATATTTTTACGTATTTATTTCTTTATTTACGTAGGTTTCATTTTCATTAAAAATATCTATCTATCTATCTATATTTATTATTATTAGCAATATTTTGGGTAAAATATATAATTGTAGTTCCCTCGGTTGCGTCATTCGTTTGGATTACAGTCATCATTATTTGAGAGTGCTGCCAACCCTTTTAATCTACAAGAAATATCAGTGCTGCTAACCCTTGTATTCTACAAGCAATATCCCACGAAATCAGGGACTATATTTGATCTTATCATTAGCTATGACTGCAATATTCATTTTTTGAATTAGCAAAAATTTATAAAAGTACTTATCCTAAATGTGTAAATATCAACTACTCAAATGCAGTGGTAAATTTATCAAAAAACGTTAGATTTAGCGTTGAAATCATTCTGTTGGCAGCTCTCTGGTTAGTATTTTGGTATTTAGGCGTTTTTCAAAAAAACTGACCGTTACGTTACCGGAATGTGACCGGAATCCACTTTTTTGACCTATGCAATGTGTAACATATTAAAGTGCAAAGCTTATATACCCCAATTAGATAAAAATGTTTTGAATGTACGTTAGTAAAAAAACAAACACTATACTCATGAGAACCATACCTTGAAAATATGTTATACGAAAAGTCGTATCCATACTTTTTTAACCTCTCAGGTACCAAAATGAACCATTTTTTACTACTTTTATCAACTTACATCTTGAAATATTTCTTAGAACTATTGTTCTGTTGATTTGTTTTGATGCTTTAATCTATCTAAATATTAGAAAATGTCTAAAAGTTCCGTTAGAAGCAATATTTTTTCCAAAAACTATGTTTTTAAATGTATGTAATTTTTGACCCAAATTTTTGAGTTATTTTTGTTTAAATCCTACTCAAGATATATGTAATATAGTGCTGCGATACTTTTGTAATACATAGTTTATAAGCTTAAGCTTCTAATAAACAAAGCATCTTAGTCCATATCGGCATAAATCATTTAAAATTAGGTTGAAATATTATAACCACTTTTGAGGACTTGTTAAGTGGCAGTTCTTTGTGACTATATTAAGAACATGTGTTGTGTAAAAAATATGTATGGTGGCACTTGAAGTTTGAGATGTATTTTATACCTAATGTGATAAGTTGTAAATAAAATATTTTATGAACTTCCAAATATTGTTGTAATTAAAATTATAACCGAAACTTATCTAAATATCATAGTACCCTATGTTGAAAGTTCTATGTTAGCTATAATTGAGTATTTATATAGAAATGGTTGAAAGTGAATAAAGATTATTCAATTTACAATAAGATTTTTAACTTGAATTGACTTGATTCCTACTAGATACGGAGAAAATCCAGTTACAGTAAAAGTCTATCTCAAAAATGGGCTGTCTGTTGACCATACCGGCTCCCGGTATAACAGGTAATGCAAAATGGGCTAATGTCATTCAACATACAAGAGGATAAAGGGATGCCACTGGCACTAAAAAAGGCGTGAAGCACATCGCTTAAATTATATATGTTCTAGTTCATAATTGTTATTTTAGTTAATAAACATACATTTGTAAGTGACGATTAGGTTACCGGCAAGTTACAAATAACATGGTGTTGAAAATTGTGCTAGGGATTTATTGTCATCGCTTAACAGGTATCACTATTTCATTTATTTATTATTTTCTTCAATACGCTTTAGGTAAAAGTGTAGTTAATTCTTAATACGCTCATACTGATAAATTCCAAATAATTTAAATTTACTGATAAGACAATAGAGACTACCTCTTGCACTATTAATTTGAACACTAGTAGAAATTTCAATCATTGTAAATATATTAAAAATAATAACATAAATAATATCAATTTGGTGCATCAAAACATGAGAGGAATGATGGGCAAAGACTTAGAGGTGGAACTGTTCATGAACTGCAATGCGATTGATATTTTTTGTATTACTGAACACTGGCTTAAACGAGATCAGTTCATGTTCAATTTTGATCACCACGAGGTAGGCAGCTCGTTCAGCAGAAGTACAGCAATATATGGTGGCACTATGATACTTATTAATAAGCAACTAAAGTTTAACCCCTTCAATCCCGCGGACATGAATTCACGCCAACGAAAAAGTACCGTTGATTCCCGCGACATGAATTCATGTCCTAGTGTCGCGCGTCAAATAGTATCGGTTTTTATGACATTACGATTTCTTTTTGACATTGTCAACTCGACTAACTGATGCATAGAAGAACAATCTTGCAATTAACACTTTCACTTCACTATTTGTAATTATTGTATTTGCCGGCAATTCGTGGAGAGTTGTGTGTAAAAGACGCGTGAGATTTTGTGTTTTGGTGTTGTTTTTTCTGATATAATCGGTAAGTAATGTTCATTTATTATTAGTACATATTGTTTTAGACTGATATTACTCACAACATCAGTATTTTTTATGATTCAAGTTATAAAAATCGAACAAACAAAAAATCCTTTGTCTAATCATTGTTGTTAGTTTCGATTTCCAATAAGATAAAAAGAGTATATTTCTTGTTGGAATACGATTGAAAATACTTATCTTATTGTAAAAATCTTCTAGAAGCTATTTTGATCAGTAGTTTTTTATATAAATCTGTACCTTTCGTTATTTTCTTAGAAAACGGTGCAAAGTATCAAAATCTCACGCACACATTTGCATCGTTCTTATATGTGTGCGTGCACTCAAAAATAGCCACTGGTCTAACTATTACACAAGATGTTCTTTTTTTGTTCGATTGGTACTTTTTTTTCATACCGCATTGTACATTGACATTATTTATTTGAATGTTGTATACTAATAATAGTTAATTACAAAGAACCCGTACAAATACTAAACTACACATCCTATCTTATCGTGTTAGGGCTCGTTGGATTCGTCATGTCAAGGATTGTCTCCCTAGATGGTATCCAGAGTCTGATGATGGAGTCAGCAGGTGATGGGACGGAACTCCTAAGGTACACATCCTATCTTATCGTGTTAGGGCTCGTTGGATTCGTCATGTCAAGGATTGTCTCCCTAGATGGTATCCAGGGTCTGATGATGGAGTCAGCAGGTGATGGGACGGAACTCCTAAGTCACACATCCTATCGTATCGTGTTAGGGCTCGTTAGATTTGTCGTGCCAAGAGCTTTCTCATAATTTTATTGAGTTTATGCTTGAAGCTGGACATTGTCCTTTGTCAAGCAGTGAACGCATTCCAGATGAGATAATGCATTACTTAACTAATTTGTTGTATTTTTTTTTTTATCTCAAGAAAAATGGCTGACTACCAACCAGAACCGAGTGGATCAGGCCGACGCCTTCTCCCGCACCCCGTATCACTTGATGGGACGGCAGGGGTAGAAGATGCGACGATTTGTGTAAGTACACATGAAAACCAAAGTGTGTGTTTCATATTTCTGTTTAACTATTGTACCCTAATTTGCTTCAATATTCTTTTTAGCCCTGGAGAACCGATGAGACGCCAAATCGCAAGCGGTCGTCGGCGGGTACCGTATTTGAGGGGTCCCCAAAACGTCGTCGCACCATACAGCTCAGAGATAAAAACATCATTAATCTACTCTACGACTCTGGGAGCGACGAAGGGGATGACTTTGAGGATGGCAATGACGAAGACGAGGATCTTGACGTCATCAACTTTATGGGCCTCCGTCAATATACCCGCCAAATGCGAAACCGCATCGTGGTGACGGATCCAGAGGATGGATGGATGGATTCAGAAAAATGATGCAAATGCGGAGAATGGCCACGATGTAAGTATGAATGAGAGCGGATGGATGAAGAAATGATTCATGAAAATGTGGATGTGGTGCATGAAAGTGATGAGAATACAAGAGGAAGGGCTGGAAGTCATGAAAGGGAAAGTGGTGAAAGGTTTGAAAGTAGCGAAAGGTCTGATAGGTATGAAAGGGCGGAGCAAGGGCGGGCACGCGTGAATCCGACTTTTTCTTGAATTTTCAACTTTTAACGCCCAGAAAGAGACGTATACACGCGATCCCGGTCCAGCATTTTCGTCCCATGATCCCGCGGAATATTTCTACCAAGTCTGGGATAGCGTTCATGGAGCTGGTGGTTAGAGAGACTAATTTATATGCATGGCAAATTATCTTACAATTTTCCGACCCTGATCTCGATGCCGAGATTCCAAAGTACTTGGAATTTTGGACCGAGATCACGGTTGAGGAACTATATAGATACTTCGCCGTGCTAATATTGATGTCTTTCTGCCACCGCTCCAATATTCGCGAGTACTGGGAGACGGGGATAATGGGCATGCCAGAGTTCCGCGAGATTATGGGGCGGAACAGGTTCAAACTGATCAGCAAATTTTTGCATTTTACTTCGAATGAAAGTTTGCTGACCAGTGGGCATCTCAGGAAGATTGAAAAAGTTGCACCAGTTGTGGCACATTGCAATAAAAAATTCAAAGACTTATACACTCCTGCACAACATCTCAGCTTAGACGAGTCCTTACTGTTATGGAAGGGCCGTCTAAGCTGGAAGCAGTGTATTAGGTCGAAAGCTGCAAGATTTGGCATCAAATCTTTCGAGCTTTGCGAGGCGGAGACTGGGTACCTCCTCCAATACCGTCTGTACACCGGGAAGAGTACAGACCAATATCCAGATCCCATACATGGGTTTCAAGACCACACAGCTAAGATTGTCTTGGACCTCATCGATGGGTATTTAGATGTTGGTCATGTACTTGTCATGGACAATTGGTATAACCAATTGTTCATGACTAGGTACCTCAAATCCCGGTGTACGGACGTATTGGGGACTTTAAACCGTCGGCGTAATGGCATACCACCAGCTGTGAAGGATATGATGCCAAATGTGCCGCGAGGAACTACGGTATATAGACATTCCGGTGACATCACTTTAGTTTCTTGAAAGGATGTGAAGGTGGTCACCGTAATCTCTACATACCATATACCCGAGATGGTTCCGGGGAGACGCACGGGACAGGCGATCATGAAGCCGGCGGCAGTAACCGAGTACAACAAGTACATGGGGGGTGTAGATCTCAAGGATCAGAAACTTTCAATGTTTCTGATCGAACGAAAACGAAACCAGAAATGGTATATCAAAGTGTTTAGAAGGCTGTTTAACACCAGCCTTCTAAACACTTACATAGTGTACACAAAAAACCCCATGTACCACCGCCAATTTCGGCGAATGTTCGTCCATAGACTTTTGAGCCGGTACCCTCGCGTATCTTCAGGACCACACTGAGCACCGAGCACACCGCAATTGCTTCAACGTCTTCAACCAGGACAACACTTCCCTGTCCACACGGAGCTTGCCTCACGGACCCAAAAGGCGAAACACAAGCAATTACGTTGTGCTCGGTGCGCTGCTCAAAATCGACGCGTTTGTGTCACACTGATGTGCAAAGTGTGCAAGGTAGCGTTGTGTGTAGGTGCATGTTGGGAAGAATACCACACATTGGTAAATTTGTGAGTGATTGTTTGAGCGTGTAGAACGGAGATAAAAGTTGTTTGCATAATTTCTCTAGCTAATACAATTTTAATATATTTTTATTCTTTTTTATATTTCAATATATTTTTTATTTATACCATAAGGTTTTTTATTGTACCAACATATGTTTTAGTACCTCCTTACCATTTCCACTGCATGCATTCACTTTTTTCTAACACAAAACGTAGTTTAGCGTCAGCGCTTGGTCGACCGCCGTGCGGGTGCTACTTAGATTTTTCCATGACAATAAAATATTTCTCCATACTAAAAACCCATGTCCTTCCTTATCTAATAAAAATAAATTTAGTAGACGTAAACCATCCCCTTTCCACCTACCGCACATACTGACATACTTTTGCATTTATAATAAAAGTAGAAATAATATTCCCTTATTTTACCATTTGATAAAACAATAAAAAAACACTACACCTGCATAAATATTATGAAAGTCAAACAAACACACAACAAAAAACATCACACACAGCACCATCACCGATTCGAACAAACAATAGGTAACGATTTTAAGGTAAGGTAAGACATAGGCTACCGCGATAACCGACATTTACGCGGGCGGAGCCGCGGGCAGAAGCTAGTTATAAATATTTCTTTTTGCTTACCTCAACTATGACTTATATTAATTTAAGGATTTAAATTAATTTATTTAAAATAAATATGTTAACCTTTCATTTTCAGGACACAACAATTTCTAATCTGCCAGATCAACCTGCCATTTGAACCTGTTGCCGGTCCATCCAGAATTTATCCTTTAAGAGAACATAATGCAAACATTATCACTCCAACCAGTTGTACAGGAATGTTTGTGTGCGAGTCTTCAAAACAAGGAGATAAGAAAAACAAAATGTTGATAAGGAAACTGAAAAATAGTATGAACAAAGTATATAGATTACAAAAAACTGTAAAATATTTAAAAAATGAAGCATTTTTAAATGAAATCTCCAATAATCAAACAGTAAAAAAAATCCTCAATAAAAAAATGAGTTCATCATTTGCCCTGTTACTGCAAGGAGAACTGCAGAATTATAAGAGGAAGAAACCTGGACGCAGGTGGAACATGGAAGCTAAAATAATAGCATTGAGGCTCTATAAAAGGTCACAAACATGCTACAAGTTATTGAGGAGAATGATTTGTTTACCAGCACCCAGCATATTAAAATCCCTCTTAAGCAGATTTAGGATGAATGTGGGGATACACAAAACAACACTTACAATGTTTTAAAAAGATGCCAAACACTTTGGGCCATCCGAACGAGAGTACATATTGTTGTGGGATGAAATGTCATTAAGAAAAAATTTATGGTACAACTCTAAGTCTGATCATATTGAGGGTTTTCAAAACCATGCCAGACAAGGTAGATCTCCACAGGCAGCTTTATATGCGCTTGTACAGGGTGGCCCAGAAAGACCGAAGTGGTGTGAATTCCTTATAACTTTTTTATTATAATTTTTTTTTCTTTTCTTTTCAGTATTTTGTAAAGAAGACTTGGATAATTTATAATGGAGCAATACACAATTGAACAACGTGCCCAAATTGTTGAAATTTACTTTTCAAATCAACGGTCCATTGTGTTGACTCAGCGTGCATACCGTCGTCAATTTAATGTGCGGGTTGCACCCTCTCAGTCAACAATAAACCGTCTGGTTGCAAATTTTCGAGAACAAGGAGCAGTAAGGAACCTTCCTGGTCCCGGCAGACACCGAACTGTCCACACGGCTGACAATATTCAAGTGGTACAGGAGAGTATTCGGGAGGATCCAGAAACATCAACCAGGAGACGTTCGTCACAACTGGGCCTCTCAAGAACGTCGCTGCAGCGAATTTTGCACACCATAGGATTGTTTCCATACAAAATTCAACTTGTCCAAGAATTGAAACCAACAGATTACCAGCAACGACTTGACTATGCAATTTATTTCCAGCAAAAAGCACAAGAGAATCCAAATTTTATTCTTAACTTAATAATGAGTGACGAAGCCCATTTTCAATTAAATGGGTTCGTTAACAAGCAAAACTGTAGGATATGGGCTACGGAAAACCCGAGAGTACTTCATCAACGACAATTGCACCCAGTTAAGTGTACCGTTTGGTGCGGTGTTTCTTCAGAAAGGATCATTGGCCCATTTTTTTTTGAAAATGAACAAGATGTCGCCATTTCCGTCAATGGTGATCGATATCGGGCCATGTTGCAAAATTTTGTAAGGCCAGCCGTGGAAAACCATCCGCAAATATGGTTCCAACAGGATGGAGCCACAGCGCACACTGCGAGGGCCACAATGACTCTTTTACGCGACATCTTTGGTGAAAGAATAATTTCTCGTAACAGCAATTTTAATTGGCCTCCGCGTTCCCCGGATTTAACCGCTCCAGACTGTTTTCTTTGGGGCTATTTAAAAGGAAAAGTTTATGTTAATAAGCCTAGGACTATTGAGGAGTTAAAAACCAATATTCGAGAAGAAATTAACAACATACCACCGGAAGTTTTGCGAAAGGTCATGGAAAATGTGTTGGAAAGAGCACATTTGTGCGAAGCAGAATATGGCCACCACTTGCGGGATATCATTTTTAATAACTAATCCAAAAATATTCCCCATAAATTTAATGTATTTAAAAAAAAAAAAATTAAAAAAATATCTCTTAAATAAAAAGTTATAAGCAATTCACACCACTTCGGTCTTTCTGGGCCACCCTGTATTTATGGTGGTTGGAGTTAGAAAGCCAATTAAACAGCCAGGTGCTTATTACTTATCAAGTGGATTTGTCACAGCTGACAGACTATCTGCTTTGATTAAGGAGGTATGCATTTCTTCTTCATTTTGAATGATGATCATGCTTATGTTAAACAAGCTAAGTTACTAATCTGCCTTAAAAAAAAATCAGGTTTAAAATTGTTGCTTTAATGCTAGCCTTAATATATGCGCTTCAGTTTGTGACTTGGATGGAGTCAACAAGAAAGCTCTGTGTCTATTAGGAGCTTCTGTAGAGAATCCCTATATAGAAGTGAGCAATCACAAAGTAGTCACGCTATTTGACACACTTGCACCACACTTGCTGAAGTGCTTCAGAAATCTGTTCATGAAATATGATGTAAAGTTTATGAGCAATATAACATCAGACAACAAACAAGGAATTGGTAAGTCATTGTTATTTAGTTTAAAAAAAGTGTTTAATAATATGTATGTAGTTTATACTTAATAATTTTACTTTTAATAATTACTTTACAGGAATCGCTAAATGGAGCCACATCAGGCAATTCTATGAACTGGACAATAATAATCCCAATTTTGTTTATGCACCACTCTTAACTAAAGAACACCTTGACCCCAATACCAAGCAAAAAATGAGGGTAAAACTTGCAGCACAAGTTTTAAGCCACTCAGTTGCAGCAGGAATATTTTCCAAAATAGCTAAAGGTAAGAGACATCTTTAATAGTCATGGTCCAACTCATTTATACACACACATCATAATTATTATGCACGATACTTATGCACATTTAACAACAAGTCTTACAAATTCGTTTCAACAGTATGATAATGTGGGGTTGTCTCTTTTATAAATGGTAAAACTATCTAGTAATTATATTGTCCTTTTTATTACTTAATCCTGGTTTGAGAAAGGTTTAAAAATGGTTTTAAACAAACTGGACAGAAAATATGCTTACTTATATTGATTTAATTTGTTTATTGTGAATTTTCAGGAGACATGCCGACTGGAGCAGTGGCAACGGGTAATTTAATTAAAGACATGGATGAACTGTTTGATGGAGTAAACGCATCGACATCAGATTTAAGAAGAGGAAAATTTTTTGCCACAAATATAAAATAATCCACAGAACATCTGCAAATGTTCAATAAAATGAAATATTTTTTAAAAACCTCTGCATTTTTGGGATGCAGGGGTAATCCACCGTCAAAAAATGGGTGGATACCTTTGGAGAACCCTTAGTGCCAAATATAAATCCATCAAAAGTCTGTCTACAAGAAGACTCCAGCAAGACCCGTTGGAAAATTTATTTGGTTGCATACGCTACAATTGCGGGTCCAATAGCAACCCGACAGTTGGACAATTTGTTGCTGGTTTAAAAACTGCTGTAATAAGCAACATGGCACACACTAGCTCAGGGAATTGTGAGCTGGATAGCAACAGTGCTATTATATCAAATTTTAAAAAATTGCTGACATCATCTGCAGACATATGTACTGATACAGAGCAATCCGAACATGTATACGAAATAGAAAAAGAAATTGAAGAAAGTATAACTTCTTCTCTCGAAGAAAACTTGGAGGAAGGAAGTAGCGAACTACAAGCATGTGCATATGTCTGTGGCTTCATTATTAAAAAAATAAAAAACAATTGTAATAAGTGTATGAAAATTCGAGTCTCCGAAACGCCAGA